TAGATAAATGAAGAAAGCACTGTAGCCAGTAGCTGTTCAGCTCTGCTTCCTCTGTCTGTCTTCTGTGTCCTTCTCACGGATAAGGATTTGTTCTTTCTGTCAGCTTGGTAGCAGTAACCTGCTAGAAAATACTGCTTTTTCTCTGACCTCATTAAATCAGCTCTCACTGATTAACACCTCCTAGGATGCTAAATGCAATCGTTTATAAAATTGTTGATCTTGGTCCTTCAAAAGGGGGGAAAAAAAAAACAGAGACACGTTTCTGTGCCAGATCCTGAAATATCTTTCCAAATTCCATTGTTGCGAGCAAGAGGTAATGGAAGTAGAAAGGCAACAATGAATTTCAAGCAGATGTAAAGTTAATGACATTCTGTTGCATGGGTAAAGTAGTAAAGTAGTTTCTTATATATAATTGGAGATAAAAAATGCAAGCAAAACATGAGCAAGCTCCATAGAAAGCTTGATACTACAACAGAGGGTGAATATATTGAGAGGATTAAGGATCTAGTGATTCATTGGAGAAGGAATGGAAGGAACTTCCTGAGATGCTAATCAAAAAAAGATTTAAATCCAATTTTCAGTTTATAAAATATCCCTGAAATATTTCTGCCATTTGAACTAGAGCTGTGATGCAGGAGAGGAGGAGGAGGCACTAGGCAGAATTGGGTTATCAGGATTCAGGGGGATTGAAGTGACTCATAACTGATTCTGAAGGAAGAATCCAAGAGAGAGGGCTGAAAAAAAAAAAAGATTGAAGTGTCCTTCATAAGATGGATAATTAATTTTTAAATTAACTTTAGCTACCCTGACATATTTAGAATTTTACGAGTATTTTTTAAATGTTCAAGGTAATCAATCTGGATTTCCATTTTGTGGATGTAACTGAGATGTACCATCCTGGTACTTCTAAATTAAACTCCTCAACTGTTCGTAATGTTCCTTTAACTTTATCTGTCAGTTTTACTATCTCTTTATTTGAGAGATCACACTAACTCAGAACATCACCGAGCCTTTCTCAGTTGACATCCAAAATGTTGGAAATACTCAAACCAAGTGGACCGTAGCTGCTGGAAAGCAGTGTAGTCATGGAGATAGAAATTCTGTGATTGCAGCAACAGCAGCAATCGCAACAAAAACACCTCCTGAAAATTGGATTCCTGCTCCTTGTGCAGGGGACCTGCATCCTTGCAGTTCTAACATTAGTAATGGAAATGTCTGTGAGTGTAGCAGTCTGGTGAGGCCAAAATTCCCTCCAAGAGGGTGAATTACTTTAGAACAGCAACAAGAAAACCCCTAATGTTCTGGGACTTCTCTATGGGTTATGTCACCCCTTTTGAAAGCAGCTTCTTATCTCTGGGTCATGCTTTGCACGGAGGCTTTCATGGCTACAGCCTGGTTTGCCACACCATTTTTGCAGAAGGATAATTACAAGAGCTCCAGTAATTACCAAGTCTCAGAAAAAAAAAAGTTGAAGCTCTTAAG